AAATGCAGGCAGAAATGGTTTATTATTTTATAAATAATGGCAGTGGGCTTGTTTTTTCTTGTTTGTATTTAAAATAACCCAGTGACAAATTTTTGCTTAAGTTCAGAGCTATACGATGGAAGTAGTGGTCGTGATTTTATATGTGGGCGTGGCTGGTCGCCTACTTCAATTAAAACAAAGATTGTAGTTTCTTTCAGACAGTTCTAGTTTAGTTCTAGTTCAGTTGTAGTTCAGTTCTAGTTCAGTTCTAGTTCGGTTCTAGTTCAGTTCTAGTTCAGTTCTAGTTCAGTTCTAGTTCAGTTCTAGTTCAGTTCTAGTTCAGTTCTAGTTCAGTTCTAGTTCAGTTCTAGTTCAGTTCTAGTTCAGTTCTAGTTCAGTTCTAGTTCAGTTCTAGTTCAGTTCTAGTTCAGTTCTAGTTCAGTTCTAGTTCAGTTCTAGTTCAGTTCTAGTTCAGTTCTAGTTCATTCTAGTTCAGTTCTAGTTCAGTTCTAGTTCAGTTCTAGTTCAGTTCTAGTTCAGTTCTAGTTCAGTTCTAGTTCAGTTCTAGTTCAGTTCTAGTTCAGTTCTAGTTCAGTTCTAGTTCAGTTCTAGTTCAGTTCTAGTTCAGTTCTAGTTCAGTCTAGTTCAGTTCTAGTTCAGTTCTAGTTCAGTTCTAGTTCAGTTCTAGTTCAGTTCTAGTTCAGTTCTAGTTCAGTTCTAGTTCAGTTCTAGTTCAGTTCTAGTTCAGTTCTAGTTCAGTTCTAGTTCAGTTCTAGTCAGTTCTAGTTCAGTTCTAGTTCAGTTCTAGTTCAGTTCTAGTCAGTTTCTAGTTCAGTTTATCTAGTTCAGTTCTAGTTCAGTTCTAGTTCAGTTCTAGTTCAGTTCTAGTTCAGTTCTAGTTCAGTTCTAGTTCAGTTCTAGTTCAGTTCTAGTTCAGTTCTAGTTCAGTTCTAGTTCAGTTCTAGTTCAGTTCTAGTTCAGTTCTAGTTCAGTTCTAGTTCAGTTCTAGTTCAGTTCTAGTTCAGTTCTTAGTTCAGTTCTAGTTCAGTTCTAGTTCAGTTCAGTTCTAGTTCAGTTCTAGTCTAGTTCAGTTCTAGTTCAGTTCTAGTTCAGTTCTAGTTCAGTTCTAGTTCAGTTCTAGTTCAGTTCTAGTTCAGTTCTAGTTCAGTTCTAGTTCAGTTCTAGTTCAGTTCTAGTTCAGTTCTAGTTCAGTTCTAGTTCTAGTTCAGTTCTAGTTCAGTTCTAGTTCAGTTCTAGTTCAGTTCTAGTTCAGTTCTAGTTCAGTTCTAGTTCAGTTCTAGTTCAGTTCTAGTTCAGTTCTAGTTCAGTTTCTAGTTCAGTTCTAGTTCAGTTCTAGTTCAGTTCTAGTTCAGTTCTAGTTCAGTTCTAGTTCAGTTCTAGTTCAGTTCTAGTTCAGTTCTAGTTCAGTTTAGTTCTAGTTCAGTTCTAGTTCAGTTCTAGTTCAGTTCTAGTTCAGTTTCTAGTTCAGTTCTAGTTCAGTTCTAGTTCAGTTCTAGTTCAGTTCTAGTTCAGTTCTAGTTCAGTTCTAGTTCATTCTAATTCAGGAAAATCGTTTCAATCGTTTTGCCATATATAGACTTCAAACGCATCCATAAACAAAGAAAATTATCAATAAATTTTCTTTTTATAGAAAAAAATTTTTTTTTCTTGAAAATTTTCAATAAGTTTTCTTTTTCTAAAAAATTTTCAATAAGTTTTCTTTTTCTAACAAATTTTCAATAAATTTTCTTTCTATAGAAAATTTTCTATACATTTTTTTATAGAAAATTTTCAAAAATTTTCTTTTTATAGAAAATTTTCAAGAAATTTTCTTTTTTGTGTAAAATTTTTAAAAAGTTTTCTTTTTGTATACAATTTTTAAGAAATTTTCTTTTTATAGAAAATTTTTACAAAAGCTTTTCAAGAAATTTATAATAAAACTTTTCTTTTTTTATGGAAAATGTTCTTTAGGTTTTCTTTTTTGGTGTAAAATTTTCTTTTCATAAACAATTTTTGTTGAATTGAATTTTTTTAAAAAATTTTTGGTAAGGTGTCTTTATAACAAAAATTTTTGTTTGCAAACGAAATGTTAAGTAAAATTTTTAGCTGGGTTATGTTTATTCCAGTAAAACATATTTATGTATATTATGTTGACTTTTATTTTCCAAGTTTTCATATTTATAATTCATTTAAAATCCAATAAATGTGCGGAAGTGTCACATAAATTTATTTTAAACGTCCTTCTCTGCCTTGTTTTTGCTGTTGTTGTCGATATTATTTTTAGTGTTTTTGTCGCTGGTGTTGTTATTATTTCATAAAATATTCCGGTGAAATATTTTTATTTATTTTTAACTTGATTTCAAGCAGAAAAAATAATATATATGTACATATTATTGGTAATTTTTCACTTCGGCTCTCTCCCTCACTCATACATCCAGTCTTCCACTTGTGGATGTTGTTTTATCCTTCACTCCTGTTTGCAGTGAGTAATTGATATTTTTTAAGAAATTTTATAAAATAAAGTACATAAATGCTTTAAGAATATGCTATTACCTGTTATATGCAGAACACTAAATATTAATCCTACGCTAAGTATTTATACTGCAGGATCAAGCGTTCTGAAGCAAAACAATGCTACTCATGAGAGCTTTCATTTATATTTTTATTACAACCCTACTCTAGATATCGTATAAAATTAGTAGGTACACCTAGGGATAGTTGTATCATTATTATTAAATAATTACAAAGTACAAAAGTTAATTAATTATAACCTAAAGCTAAAAATATTTTCAAGTTTTTGCGACAAACAATTTTGTTAAAATAAATCGGAAAAATATTAAAACTATTTATAGCCACAAAAGTAAATAACATTTCCTCTAACACCCGACATAAACGTAATAATTATCATACATTTTAAAATTGAAACAGGAAAAAAACTTATAATAATTTTCATTTTTTGTTCCGTTTTATAAATGTCAATAAGCTGTCAAGATTACTGATAGATAACACGCCAGTTAGTTTGTAATTTATTAATTAAAATCTATAAAATCAACGTGTGTAAATTATTATTTTATTATATAAACATCAAGTTTTAATTAAAATAATATTCATATTTTCTCATTTTTTGTTTGTCTTCTCAATGTTTATGTATGAGTAAAAATATTTACTTAACTTTTTTTTATTTTATCATTATTTTTGTTTCTTTTGTTGTTTGAGGCAAACAAATGATGACAGTTTTATTATTTATTTATGGAAATTTAATGATTTTTTAAATATACATAAATATAAACAAATTATATTTGTATTTGTTTGTAAAACATTTGTTTAAACAATGTATGCATATTTGTTTGAGTCTTAACAATAAAAAATATAATAGTAATAATTTAATAGCTGTAAAAAACAGATTGAGTTTTTGCACGAAGTTAATATTATAAAAAAAGAGAGGTCTTGGCTTTTTATTTGTAAAATAGGTGTGTTTATTATCGTGTAAAAGGATTTAATATATAATTTGATTCAACTATTATTTATAAAATCATAAAACTTTTTGAATATGTCACCAAATAATAAATGTTTTTCATGGAATCATGGAAATAAAATCCTTGCGATAGAATGAACTAAAACGTGAACTAGAACTGAACTAGACTGAACTAGAACTGAACTAGAACTGAACTAGAACTGAACTAGAACTGAACTAGAAAGAACTAGAACTGAACTAGAACTGAACTAGAACTGAACTAGAACTGAACTAGAACTGAACTAGAAACTGAACTAGAACTGAACTAGAACTGAACTAGAACTGAACTAGAAACTGAACTAGAACTGAACTAGAAACTGAACTAGAAACTGAAACTAGAATGAACTAGAACTGAACTAGAACTGAACTAGAACTGAACTAGAACTGAACTAGAACTGAACTAGAACTGAACTAGAACTGAACTAGAACTGAACTAGAACTGAACTAGAACTGAACTAGAACTGAACTAGAACTGAACTAGAACTGACTAGAACTGAACTAGAACTGAACTAGAACTGAACTAGAACTGAACTAGAACTGAACTAGAACTGAACTAGAACTGAACTAGAACTGAACTAGAACTGAACTAGAACTGAACTAGAACTGAACTAGAACTGAACTAGAACTTAACTAGAACTGAACTAGAACTGAACTAGAACTGAACTAGAACTGAACTAGAACTGAACTAGAACTGAACTAGAACTGAACTAGAACTGAACTAGAACTGAACTAGAACTGAACTAGAACTGAACTAGAACTGAACTGGAACTGAACTGGAACTGAACTGGAACTGAACTAGAACCGACAATATCGAAACAATCTCCCTCCACTGTGCGTGGTATGCACGTGATGGTATAACCATCGGAGCGTATGAAATATTTGTATATGCAAATAATATAAATCATACGCCCAGTTTAATTTCAAACGCTTGATACTGATTACTATTTATAAAGCTAAATGAAAATTATCTTCTCCTTAACATTATTAACCCTAGCTCTGGCACAAATACGGTTGCTTACGGGAAATACATTATAAAATATTTACATTTGTAAATAGTGCCAGAGCTAGGGTTAATACTAATCCCTTATTAGTCTACGTAAATATCGTATGTGCTAAAAAAAAGATTTAAAAAATGAGGTTTGTGCTAATATCGCGCTTATTATGTTGTTCATTTTCTGCTGCTATTACTGGTTAAATACTATTGTCGAATTCACAATCGATGTCGTATCGATGTAGCGTTGTATGTCATAAACATTTTTCAAATAAAATTTTTTGAAACAAAAACAAATAAATAAAGATATAATGCATTATTTTTTCATTGCAAATCTTAATATATTTATCGCCATACTATTTTAGTTTAAGATACACAATTAATTTTTTATTAGTATCATTATCTGCACCATAGTGCAAAATGTTTGATAGAGGTTATTCATATAAATTGTCATTATCTACTTTTTGATTAATACCAAATTTAATTAAAACTAAAAAATAAATATAAACAACTTACCAAATAAACGTCCAGCTAATGTATATGATGTTGCTGTTGTTAACAACAAAAGTCCAGTGAAACCATAAATGATGAGTCCTAAATGATTTTTATATTTCGCCGAAATACGCAAAGCCATCTTTTGAGGTTGATTTTATAGATATTTTTACAAGTATTTTATGGATTGTTAAAGTCGCTGAGACTGTAAAGCAATAGCTGCTGGTATATGTATTGAAATAATAATAAAAATATTGGACTATTTCGATACTTTATTTATTTTTTGCTTTATTACAGTTACAAATAATTTATTTATATTTTTATGTACAAATATGTATATATTTTACTGTTTAAACTGTTGTTGTGCATGTGTTTAAGTATTTTCTTTTGTTGCTTTAATTTTTTTGTCTATTTCGGTGGTTAAGTTACGATAAATTTGTTATTTTGTTGTGCAATTTCACTATTGTTTTAGAATCATCTCTTTTTTTAGTGGATAGTATACATTTTTGTTTTTTTTTTTATATTTGTTAGGTTGATAAAAATCTTTTTTTATTGTAGCAACAACAAAAACTATTTATTTTTTTCTAAAATATTTATATTTCCAGATAGTTTTCTATTATTTTTGTTGATTTTTATTACATGATTTCATATTTATTCTCACATGAATTTGTTTTTGCAATTGTTGTAGATTTTGTTGTATTCGTAGTTTTGTATTAGTCATTTGAATTTGTTGTTATATTCATTGTTGTTGCCGTTTTTGTTAGTAGCTTTATTATACAATTGCATTTTGTTGGAAATTTCTATGTTATTTTTATTTGTATGTATTTTATTTTTATTTGTAGACTTTAAATCATAAATTTCTATGACATTTCATTAAACCAGTAAAATATTTTCTTTCTTTCTCCCGCTCCTTCTTGGTTTCTGTATCTGCATATCAAAATCATAGAGAATTGTATGTTTATGTTTCCTTATTTATTTTCTCTTTTTTCAATTTCTATTCTAAATAAAGATATTGTTTAATCTGTAATACATTATAAAAAGACATACATATGTATATTAGTTATAATAATTTCATGTTTTATTTTTTATTTTCTGCTGAAAATCATGTTTTCTTAATTAAGGTTTCTTCAACAAATAAAAGAAATTTCATGTAAATAATTGAGTTATTTTCAAAAAACACATTAAAAATTAAATTAAAAAATTATAATATTATATGCATAGAAGTAAATTATTAAGGGTTAAACATTATTTATTTGTTTTTTTTTTTTTTCTTTAAAAAGTAAAGAAAAACATATTTGAAAAATTTGTGTTTAAACTTTTAAACCATACCTATGTTGCTAATATTTGTCTTAGACCAATTTGATATCATTAAAACAAAGTTAATTGTATGTACTTCAAAAAAGTTCAAGCAGAAATTTCCAATTGATTAAACACTTCTTCAAATAACAGCACAGTGGTTTTGGATTAGTCAAATTAGAACTCAACTAGTACTAGAATTGAACTAGAACTGAACTAGAACTGAACTAGAACTGAACTAGAACTGAACTAGAACTGAACTAGAACTGAACTACTAGAACTGAACTAGAACTGAACTAGAACTGAACTAGAACTGAACTAGAACTGAACTAGAACTGAACTAGAACTGAACTAGAACTGAACTAGACTGAACTAGAACTGAACTAGAACTGAACTAGAACTGAACTAGAACTGACTAGAACTGAACTAGAACTGAACTAGAACTAGAACTGAACTAGAACTGAACTAGAACTGAACTAGAACTGAACTAGAACTGAACTAGAACTGAACTAGAACTGAACTAGAACTGAACTAGAACTGAACTAGACTGAACTAGAACTGAACTAGAACTGAACTAGAACTGAACTAGAACTGAACTAGAACTGAACTAGAACTGAACTAGAACTGAACTAGAACTGAACTAGAACTGAACTAGAACTGAACTAGAACTGAACTAGAACTGAACTAGAACTGAACTAGAACTGAACTAGAACTGAACTAGAACTGAACTAGAACTGAACTAGAACTGAACTAGAACTGAACTAGAACTGAACTAGAACTGAACTAGAACTGAACTAGAACTGAACTAGAACTGAACTAGAACTGAACTAGAACTGAACTAGAACTGAAACTAGAACTGACTAGAACTACTAGAATGAACTAGAACTGAACTAGAAGACTAGACTGACTAGAACTGAACTAGAACTGAACTAGAACTGAACTAGAACTGAACTAGAACTGAACTAGAATGAACTGAACTGAACTAGAACTGAACTAGAACGAAACTAGAACTGAACTAGAACTGAACTAGAACTGAACTAGAACTGAACTAGAACTGAACTAGAACTGAAACTAGAACTGAACTAGAACCTGAACTAGAACTGAACTAGAACTGAACTAGAACTGAACTAGAACTGAACTAGAAGGAACTAGAACTGAACTAGAACTGAACTAGAAATGAACTAGAAACTGAACTAGAACTGAACTAGAACCTGAACTAGCACTGAACTAGAACTGAACTAGAACTGACTACTGACGAGAAAACTATGAACTAGAACTGAACTAGAACTGAACTAGAACTGAACTAGAACTGAACTAGAACTGAACTAGAACTGAACTAGAACTGAACTAGAACTGACTAACTAGAACTGAACTAGAACTGAACTATAACCAGAACTGAACTAGAACCAGAACTGAACTAGAACTGAACTAGAACTGAACTAGAACTGAACTAGAACTGAACTAGAACTGAACTAGAACTGAACTAGAACTGAACTAGAACTGAACTAGAACTGACTAGAACTGAACTAGAACTGAACTAGAACTGAACTAGAAAATGAACTAGAACTGAACTAGAACTGAACTAGAACTGAACTAGAACTGAACTAGAACTGAACTAGAACTGAACTAGAACTGAACTAGAACTGAACTAGAACTGAACTAGAACTGAACTAGAACTGAACTAAACTGAACTAGAACTGAACTAGAACTGAACTAGAACTGAACTAGAACTGAACTAGAACTGAACTAGAACTGAACTAGAACTGAACTAGAACTGAACTAGAACTGAACTAGAATGAACTAGAAACTGAACTAGAACTGAACTAGAACTGAACTAGAACTGAACTAGAACTGAACTAGAACTACTAGAACTGAACTAGAAACTGATCTAAACTGGCACTAAAACATAACCTAAATACAAATTAAGTAAAAAGCCTTCTTATGATAAATCTTGTAAGTGAAAGTCGCATATTAAACGTTTTTATCTTTTCATTCAAAATGGGTTTTCTGTATAAATTTCCACACTGTGCCACTTCAATTATTTCTCTCTTGAATTGGCTTAACTGTAGAATAATTTTTTTGTAAACTCAATTTTAATACAATAATAAAAATAAAGTAATAATACTTCTCGTTTAATAATAATGATAAATATAACCCCGCAGCATAAAAAGTGAAATGAACTTTAAATTTGCTAAAAGCATACTATAAAGGTAAAAAATACATACATAAATAAAGCTTTAAATTCACTTTTTTCATCATATACAACTGATTAAACGTTATAATCACAAAATAATTCACATTTTGTACAGCTACATGTGAAAAAGTATATGAAAAGAAACGTGTATTTATAGGTATTGAATAAAAAGAAAAACGAAAAATAAAACTAAAGAAAATTAATACATTTTTAATTAAATGTCAAATTAGTAAAAAGTGAAACTGTGTAGTGAAATGAAATCAGATTAAGGCATTTATTTTATGGGAATTAAGACTGTTGAAAAAAATTGGTTTCTTTCATTAAATTATCTCTGGAGTATTCAAGTTGATTTTGGTTTGTGGCTTAAATTAAATATAACTGATCGGTAATTGTTAATTTTATTTTCCTGTTTAAAAGGTCAAGCAGAAATTCGACTGCAAAAAGATTAACATTTTAAATATTGTACGAAAATATAAAGCTCATTTGTTAACAAGTAAATTCATACAACTCTGTATTTTAGTTAGATATTAGTTAAGCTTTTTATTTCTCATTGTATCTTAGCTGTATATATTTATACTATTTTAAGTAAATTCTTTTTAAATGCCGTACGTTAAGCACTCAGAAACTATATGTTTTTTGTGTTGCATTTTCAAGCTGCATTCAATTAACTTTCTTGCAATATTTTTCAGCATTCACATTTTACAACTGTATACTATTTACTTACAAATATTTATTCATATTTATAGACACACATTTATATGAAATATACATATAAATGCACATTTTCGTATATGACTTTCCAATAATACCAATAAACATAACGTTAAAAATATTTTTAATTTTAAAACAAGTTCAGTTGTAATGCAGTTCTAGTTCCGTTCTAGTTCTAGTTCAGTTCTAGTTCAGTTCTAGTTCAGTTCTAGTTCAGTTCTAGTTCAGATCTAGTTCAGTTCTAGTTCAGTTCTAGTTCAGTTCTAGTCAGTCTAGTTCAGTTCTAGTTCAGTTTAGTTCAGTTCTAGTTCAGTTCTAGTAGTCTAGTTCAGTTCTAGTTCAGTTCTAGTTCAGTTCTAGTCAGTCTAGTCAGTTCTAGTTCAGTTCTAGTTCAGTTCTAGTTCAGTTCTAGTTCAGTTCTAGTTCAGTTCTAGTTCAGTTCTAGTTCAGTTCTAGTTCAGTTCTAGTTCAGTTCAGTTCAGTTCAGTTCAGTTCTAGTTCAGTTCTAGTTCAGTTCTAGTTCATTCTAGTTCAGTTCTAGTTCAGTTCTAGTTCAGTTCTAGTTCTAGTTCAGTTCTAGTTCAGTTCTAGTTCAGTTCTATTTCAGTTCTAGTTCAGTTCTAGTTAATTTTAATAGTAAATCAGATTAAGCTATAAATATATTTCCATTATTATCTGATTTTGAGATCCAAGTTCTATGTTTACTGGGTTTCTTTAAAAAAAAAGAGGAAAAATAAAATAATATTACACAAATGGTGTCCTTTTCGACATGCACATGTGCGTCTTTTATGCGTCAATGTTTGAGTTTGTGCATGTAGAAGTAGGTGAAGGAAGAAGTGAGGCATAAGTGCGTGTGTGGGTGTTACAAATTTGACTGTAGATTTGTGTACATCTGAATATTTTATATGAATGTTTTGTATAAGAATTATTATTGTTGTTGCAAGAGATGTTCAAATGTATTTTACAAAAAAATGAAAAGGAAAAACTCAAATAAAAGGCAAATGTTGTTTGCCTTTAGCATTCTTATGAATGAAAAGTAAATATGTGAGAAGTGCATTTAATGTTAGTATAAAAAAGTTTTATTTTTTTTTTTTTTGTTTGAATGATTTATACAAAAACGCTTAAGCTATTAAAATAGTTTATAAACTGTTTCATACATTTCCGACAAATATAAAAAAGTGCAGAGAGAAGGAAAATTATTAAAGTTTTTTTTTAGTTTTTGGTAAATAATTAGCTCTAATGAAAATTAAAACATTTTAAATATATGAAGGGAAATGTTTAAAAGTTGTTCAAAAGAAATGTTAGAAAGATATTAAGAGGAATTTAAATGTCTTTCTAAGGCTCTAAATATAATCTTCACACATTAGAATTTCTAACAAAGTATTGACTTATGACAATACTAAAATTTAATTTCAGTCACTTTTATGATTTAATTTTTATTTAATCTCTAAATCTTCTTTCTTAAGAAAGCTAATCAGTCATTTGATTTTAAATTAACTATGAACTTTAGGCTTGTAAAATAAAAAAAAGATATAAATTATTATATAAAAATTAATAACGTATATAATTTTTGTATCAAATATCGGGAAATCGTAATAATCGGAATGCGTTTACCAAATCCCCAGATCATTATTGAGAAACATTGCTCTATTGGGGTGTTTTCCATAAAATCTTGTTTATTTTTATATTCCAAATATAGTGATTAATTTATGGTTTATCTAATTCTCATTTTAAATGATATTTTTCCTTTATAATTTTTAAATTTGTCCACCTTAAGTAATAAGTAATATGAAATACACTTTTCTCTTAAATATTACTGC